GTCCATATTTGACTGTTTTTATCGCACATAAATCACAGCCTTATTAATCACATACAATCGCTCTCTGAATCATTCAACAAATCTGTGAAACACAAACTCTCAGTTCACTCCCCCAATCATTCTCTCATTCTTTCAATCTCACTCTTTCTATTTCTGTATTTTCTGTAACTTCCTCGGCTCTAATTTTCACTCTCTCAATCCCTCTCTCCCCCTATCACTCTCTCCCTCACCCACTTCCTCTCTTCCTCTCTCCCTCACTCTCTCTCCCTCTCACTCTCTCTCTCCCTCTCTCACCCTCTCTCTCTCCCTCTCTCTCAATCCCTCTCTCACCCCTCTCTAGCCCCTCTCTTCCTCTCCCTCTCTCTCTATCCCTCTCCCCCCTTCCCCCCTCTCCACCTCCTCACTCCCTCTCATTCCCTCTCTCTCTCTCTCCCTCTCTATTCCTCTCCCCCTCACCATCTCATTCTCTCTCTCTCTCTCTCTCTCTCTCTCTCTCTCTCTCTCCTCTATCTAACGATGTACTTATTTACATATCACTAATCTATTTATATATCCTTCTATTTATCTATCTGTCATTGTAAAAATCTTTCACACTCATTGTTTGGCAACTCAGGCTTACACACGATCCCTTTTCCTCCCTTTCTCTTAACCTTTCTCTCTTTCTCGTTCACCTTCTGCCTGCTTATATATATCTATCTCTCTATCCATTTATCTATATTTCTCCCACTCATACATTCTCCACTCTCTATGTATATATCCACTTATTTATCTATCTTTAGATTTGTTTTTGTATCCTTCTTTTTATAACACTTATTCACTCACCGAAAATATTTTTATCTTTCTCGTCCCTCTCTCTCTTTCTCTTTCTGTCTCTATCTTCCCATCTATCTATCTCTTTTTCTCTCCCTCTTTCGGTCATAATATAACATGCTCTGTCTAAAAATAAATCTTATAAGTTTAACTTATTCTCACTTTAATCATTTACGTTATTGTTAAATTTTACAATAAATTATTATTTTATTTTTAAGTCTGATGCGACTACAAACTAAAATTATAATTGCTATTATACATTAAATGTAAGAAATGTCCTAAAGATAGTCCCAGATACCTCACTTTTGTAGCTATTTTCAAAATTAAATCGTTTATCAATACATGATTCAATCAATCAATCTCATTACCACACTAATTTTGGGTGTACAGTAGATAGGTCTATGGTACGTATATTATGTTTAGGGAATAAGTTTTTCTCCTTGAGGGTAAACGTTGGTTTGGAACTGTGGAAACCACATTTCTGTTAGTTAATTAATCCAAGTTAATAGCTCTCATGTTATTAGATGGAATTTGATGAGAAACGTTTGTTCTCTACAGCTTCCCGGTAACGAAACGGTCAATTCCATAGAATACTGTTTCCAACTCTGCCAACAAGACATTTTCAGCCAAAGAAAATTTTGCAACTCTTTCTGATATTAGTTGCCCATGAACCATAAATGATACAAATTTGTAGCCACATTCAATAAAAATAAAAAAATGAAATAATTTAAGTGAATAATTCAACAAACATCATTTATCTAAATCAATATATTATTAAAATTTTCTCTCACTCTCACACACATTCTCTAACACTACTTCTTTCTCTCTATATCTCATTCCTTTCTCTCTATTTTTCGCTCATCCCTGTATTTTTCTCTCTTTACCTATATATTTTTCTCTATCTCTATTGTTCCTTGTATTTCTTTCTCTCCCATTATCCTCTCCACCTCTCTCTTCTCGTACTCTCTCTTTCTGTGTATCTATTTGCCTTCTCTCCTCTTTCGCTCTTATCTCTATATTTTCTGTTTCTCTTTTCACTCTCTCTCTCTCTCTCTTTCTCTCGCTCTCTCTCACAGTTTCCTCTTTCTTAATTTTTCTTTCTCCCCTTAATTTGCTATCTCACACATTCTCTTTTTTCCCTCTATTTCTCTCTTTCTTTTCTCTTTTACACTATCTTACTTCTCTCTCTCTTTCTCTCTCTCGTTCTTTATCTCTCTCACTCTCTCTCTCTTTATCTCACTCTCTCTCTCACACTCTCTCTCTCGCTCTGCCTTTTCCCTCTCTTGCTCTCTTTTTTGTATTTTTCTGATCTAGCTAATGTTCACGAAATTAACTACCGATTTCGAAATTGAATATTTAAAGATGTACTGGTAAAGTTATTTACAAATATAGCAGATTTTTCACGTCTTCTATAATTAATTTTCAGGCTCGGATTTGGTGAACGTATTTTTGTGAATTATTACGACATATCAACTACAATGAGAAAAGCTGGTCGAAAATAATAAGTTAGCCGTGAAGATCTATTTTAATTGGTGTATGTTTTTCCCTAGTTTACTAAACATTTATAAAAATAAACAATAGCATAAAATTTATTTTTAATCCGGCCATTGAGATTCCACCAAGTCAAATATAAAGCCCGTTTCATAGACGTTTTGTCATGCATATCAACAATCTGAGAATTCAATTTTCTCCATAGCTTCTCTTTGGCCGTGGTTGAACAAACAAATAAATCTCTATATCTATAAAAAAAGACGATTGAAAATATTCCATAACTACTTTTTTACATATATTTATGTATTAAAGTTTACTTATACTGCTGCTGAATTATATGTTACATATTTGAAAAATTTTTATCCATTTCACAGAACATTTGGACCATTATGTGCTTTTTGGCAACATTCTACAAAAACAAAGAAAAACAAAAGATGAGGTAAGTTAACCTCTTTTTGTGACGAACAAAGGAAAAAAACCCATGAGGGTCATGTTTTAAGGTGTTTTTCTCCTCTCTCTTTTTACCTTCGATCGTTGTTATGGTTTTTTTTATATTAATCGACCAGTTCTTTTGGGGTAAAGTTGATTAGGTGAAATTTAAATTAACATCACGTGTTGACAACCACAACATTTAAAAAAAAAGTTAGTATACATTTTATTAAAACGACGACATTCTAATTTATTATTATTAGTTTAATAATTTTAATGTGTATAACTTTTAGATATTTATATTTTACATACCTTACCGTTTTTGAAAATCTATATATTTTATTGAATAGTAACTTGTATCCTTTAATTAATTTTTAATTAACATTAACAACAAAATTTAAAATATAAATAATTTTTTAAACTTAATTTATACATAAAAAAAGGCTGGGGCAATAGCTACAACTTCTCCCGGATTAGCCTTCCTTTTAATTTTGCTTGTAGACAGAAGGACCTCGACGGAGACAAACTATTTAATTTAAATTTCACCTAATCAACTTTCCTCCAAAAGAACTAGTCCATTAAAATTTAAAAAAAAACCATAACTACGATCGAAGGTAAAAAGAGAGAGGAGAGAAACACCTTAAAACATGACCCTCATGGTTTTTTTCTTTGTTCGCCACAAAAAGAGATTCACTTACTTCGTTTTCTTTTTCTTTGTTTTTGTAGAATCTAGACAAAGAGCACATAATGGTCCAAATGTTCTTTGTAATGGATAAAAATAGTTGTCTTTCTCAAATATGTAACATATAATTCAGCAGTAGTGTAAGTAAATTTGAATATATAAATGTATGTAAAAAAATTAATACAGGCCCTGATGTTGTGACTATATCTCGCGAAAGCTCGGCGAATTGTTTGCATAAGTTTGTAACTTCATTCAAGACCTGATCCTCTTCAACATGAATTTATTAAACTTTTTAATTTTGATTCGAAATGCTCTCCACCCTCCGCAAATGCACAAACGGGCCCGTTTTCTCATATAGCCACTCCAACTCGAAAGTTCAATTTAAGTTTACGTTTTTCAGCAGCGGACAGCATCAGTTGCTTTAAAATAACAACACAGTGTTAACAAAATTTTACAAGATAACTAAAAACTTTTTAAATCTAAAAACTCTTTTATTCCGGGGAATAATAATACAATAATCCTATGATCAATGTTGCAGTCGTGTTGGTAAATAAGTAAATACTTCCAACCCAAATTAAAACAGTTTAATAAATTCATTCAAAAGTTTTTTTAGTTTTTATTATTATTCCACCTTACCAATCCGTCAACCGCGGTTTTCTCCTTTCCTTCATCAATTCTCTACATCTTTGACAAAAGAATTAAAATACAATTATACAACTAAAAAGGATATTAAATGGAGTATGTTTTCTAAAATTTGTTGATCTTTTCTAGAACCTAATATTTCTAGGTTTGGAAATATTAGTTTAGAATCAGCATAGTAAGTTTTTCAACTTTGAAAAAAAAAATTTTTTTCCAAAGTTCTGGTAACTAAAATGCTTATTTCACCAACGTTTACAAGATCACATCTTACTGCAAATGTAACGTAGTTTTCAATGGTAACAACTAATTTGGCCGAAACGTTTTTGTTTTGGAGTTATCATTGTTTATTTAAAGCAAGGTCGTGAAATCTTAAAAATCAGAAAAAGTGGAATAACTCCGAAACTGGTGAGATTCGGACCATAGTTAATTAGTACTTTTTGGTTCCATTTTGAATGTAGTATCTACTGGCAAAGTTTGTAACGCGGGAAGACGAACACCCTGTATATAAAAGTAAAAATGTGTAACGTATCCTGCATATTTTTTTCCAAACCAACTGAATAAAATACATTTCTTAAAAACAAAAAACAAAAAAATAAAATAACTAATACAAAAAATAATAGACATTTTTTCTCATGTATTTGCACTGTTTTCGTATTAAGGTTGGGCTTTTTTTCCAGAACACGTTTCCAGTTTTCGTTCCTAACTTCACTAATAACACGTCAAAATAAAAGTGTTTATTCGAACGTGCCGAGATTGATGATAGGAAGGAAGCCGGTTAGATTAGTAATTCCGAGGGTTGCCCGTTAAGATATTATTCCACGGGGCGCCGTTGAATCTGACCTCGCTGGAATACAGCTTTGGACCTTTGTAATCGATGTACAAATTACAAATGTTACCGACGCCGTGGAAAATTTTCCACTCACAATTTTATTTTTGTTTTTGTTTTCAGTATCGTGCTCTACGGTGACAGTTACCAAGTGTCAAGCAGCGCTCAGAACGCTACAGGCGTTTCCTTTCTTCGCTCCGACTTGCCTTTGCAGAGAGCCGCAAGTCGACCACGAATGCAACTCGTTCAGGAACTTTTTGTTCGACCACCCTTGTATATTTGTTATAAAAAAAGGTATGCTGTGTTTGTTATATAGAAAGTACTTTAGATGGATACGATTCGGAAGTTTTCAGGAAAAAATTAACTTTGTCGATAATTATGGTTATTTTCATTCGAGAAACTAAGTACTTTTCAAAGATTAATGTTAAACACTTTTAAATGATAATTTGGAAAAAATTTTCTTTGTGCGCATAAGGGCTGCACGTAAGGACACGCATTGTAAGGACTGAATGGATAAAAAACATACCAAATTCACAAAACTTTGTCCCAAAATTACGACACTCCAAAAATTCCATTTTGTTTGAATATAACTAGAACAGACTATATTTCCCTACTGAAAAGCGAGTCAAGTTTTAACTTCACTAGTTTCGTGGTGCGCTTGACCAATTAATATTTTTCAATTAATTAAGGCAATTGAAAAATGGCGAAAAGGAGGGAAAATTCAAAAGGTGGGGTTGAAATGGGAAGTTAGTTCCCGAGTGGATCGAGGTCACGATAGCTCAAGTGGTAGAGCAGCAGTAGATCTAGACGAAGATCGTGGGTTCGAATCCCGCTCGTGACTCTGACTTTTTTATCTCAACCAAAACCTCAATTAAAGATTAATTAATTGAAAAGAATTGATTTGGTCAATCGGACCATGAAACCTAATAGATGTAATAAGCAAAATGATGTATACTTCACTAAAGCTGTCCTTGGCCATTTCATTGCCGCCGAGAATCGAATCCTGATTACACAACATTTGAAAAATGGCAAAAAGGAGGGAAAATTCAAAAGGTGGAGTTGAAATGGGAAGTTAGTGCCCGAGTGGATCGAGGTCACGATAGCTCAAGTGGTAGAGCAGCAGCAGATCTAGACGAAGATCGTGGGTTCGAATCCCACTCGTGACTCTGACTTTTTTATCTCAACCAAAACCTCAATTAAAGATTAATTAATTGAAAAGAATTGATTTAGTCAATCGGACCATGAAACCTAATAGATGTAATAAGCAAAATGAAGTATACTTCACTACAGCTGTCCTTGGCCATTTCATTGCCGCCGAGAATCGAATCCTGATTACACAACATTTGAAAAATGGCAAAAAGGAGGGAAAATTCGAAAGGTGGGGTTGAGATGGGAAGTTGGCGAGCTCAGGTGGTAGAGTAGCGGCGTATCTAGCCGAAGATCGTGGGTTCGAATCCCTCTCGTGACACTGACTTTTTTATCTCAACTAAAAACCTTAATTAATTTAAGGTTTAACTATTTCATAAATAACGATTATGTTAGGAAAACTAATTTAACTGGTCATTGAATTTCTATTATTTTTAAAACATTCTTAATAGTTGAATAATTCGACATGGATCACTTCAAGAACGCAAGTTCTTCATTGATGTTCACGAGAATTAGTTAAATGAAAACAATCGAAAATCTATTTTCAAATTAATAATTATCTCCAAGTCTCAATAGTGTTTAAGGGTTACTTTATCGCACTCGTGTTTTTCACTCTGGCAGTTCAGGGTACAGCCTATGAAAATTTCTGAGAGATTAATGTAGAAAAAATATTGCAAAAGGTTCTGAACTTTTGCCATTGACATCTAACGGGTTAAGTTGGATTTTAACCCGTGCTTAAAAGTAATGACAGTAATTACTTTACTTACTTTCCAGATTGTGAGGTGTGCAAAGAACTAACATATCTGTTTAAGAAAAATAAAAAAATGTATCAAAGAGTATCGTTGAACCTAGACGTACCGAATCTATTCATCGGGTCCTGGGGATACCAGGCATCTCTTCTGAGGTTTCGCGATATACCCCAAAGGATATATGGCATAAAATTGTGGGGTTGCCGAGAAAGTAGCATATCTGTTTTAAAAAAATTCCATAAAAGAATATAATCACTGAGACCAGAGGACCGAACTCTACGAACTTCGTATACTTAATTTTATTCATTAATAAACTAATGTACAGGACAGCAGGGATGGGTTAATCTAGGTAATTTACAACAATTGAAAGCTTTTTACAAATGAAGTTATTTTTCTTTGTACATTATAAGTTGTATTTAATCATTTAATCAGTGGAGGATATATTATTTGTTTTTTTGATTCTAATCAGTTTCAATCAAACAATATTGCGATAAAATCACTTTTAAAAGTTTGTTGATCGATGTTTGAGTTTTCCCATAACCTCAGTTTAACACTCGGAATGAAGTTGGCCCAGGATAAATGTATGAAACGGATAACTCCACGTACCGTTGGCTGCACCATGTCAATTATTTTATATTAAATTTTCAAGTCGGCAGCTTTCCTTTCATATTTTCTAGAGAGAAAAATATCTTCTTTTTATAATGAACAATTACTTGCGACACATGTGCTCACAAACAAGGACTTCGTCATATAACGACTTTTTTCCTGGCAGAAATTTTTCATATCCTAAAACAAAACAGCATTAAGCCCGGAGAACCAAAAATGTTGGATATTCAGCGACCTCGTCCGATTGTGGGAGGTAATCTTTTTCCCAAATGTGTTGCCAGATCTATTTTACGACACTTTGCCACTCAAATCACTCACCTGATTAGATCTAGAGCTTCTGTATATTAAAAATCCTTAAGATAGCGTTAATAGGCAATAACATGCAAAATAAAATGTTATCTAATAGAAATAACAAATATATTATAAGAAAAAGTTACGGCAAAGGTAAACAAAGTTAGTTTCTTATTGTAATAATAATAATAATACTATCAAATAAAATTATAGTATTAGTTTTAAATTAAAAAATTAATTAAACAGAGAAATAACGGAAGAGCTCTTCAATGAATTTAGAAAAGAAAGAAAAAAACTAAGTTAGAATGAAGATACAAAAAACACATATATTTAGATTAAACTAAAAGTTCACTTGTGAGTACGCTTGATGTATAGATGTGATGTGGCGCTGCGGTTGTGCGGGAAAGACTGATGAAGTCGGGTCCACTTATGCTGCGGTGCGGGGAGATGTCAGGCGTGCGGTCGTGGTGAATCAAGACTTAGATCACAACTGATTGTATTGCGGCGGACGAATAATAATAATAACGCCCGTATTGTTGACAGAACAGAACGTTGAACTATCGAATTCACAATACAAAATAACTTATACAAAATTACTGCCTGAAACATCTAAATTTAAGAAACAGAACGCATGCTGTCTTCTTGGCGGTTGTTGGCAAAAGTACGTTTTGAAGTTATTATTCTTTAAATATGACAACAAAATATATATGCAGTCTGATGGTGGTAGCATTTTGTCCCTCAGTTTTGCAGAAATGCTAGTGAATGATAGGATTGTTTCGGTTTTAGATCAGGTCACTTATAATATAAGCCCTTTTGTAAATATGCTGATGACATGTGTATGATTCTTCCGGAGGCTAATTTAAACAATATAGTCATCATGAGTACATAGAATTCGCATATTAAATTGAAAATAGTGACTCTTTTGGTCAAAAACTGAATTGTTCTAATAATATGATACATAGAAATCGTGAGATGAGGTCTGGTGTGATGTAGGTTTCAGACAAACATTTTCTTTATCGTGTCAACGTTTCGATCTTTATTAAGATCCTCTTCAGGGCCTGAGATTTACAAACATTGTTTACAAATAACAATTACATTTTGGATGTGGAAAAGTGAATTTATACAAGGCAAAATATATATATCTTTTGTTTATATATTCAATCAAAGTATTTCTACTCACTCAAAGTGTTTGTGTGAATGGCACAATTACATAGAAGACAAACACTTTGAGTGAGTAGAAATATTTTGATTGAATATGTAAAAAAATATATATATTTTGCATTGTATAAATTCACTTTTCCACATCCAAAATGTAATTGTTATATGTAAACAATGTTTGTAAATCCCAGGCCCTGAAGATGATCTCAATAAAGATCGAAACGTTGGCACGATAAAGAAAATGTTTTTCTGAAACCTACATCACACCAGACCGCATCTCAAGATTTCTAAATAAATATCTATTAACGGTCACTAATCACCACACATTGGTACATAGAGTTTGGCACTAAGTGGCACATGTTTTGGTGTGAGCTTGAAGAAATGATAAATACCCAAATAAAATTGTTTAATAGATTGTCATATTAATTCAATAGATTAATTCAAGGAAGTTAACAAAGAGTAAACAAACCAATAGAAATATGAACTCTTTTCACATTCAAGAGTATAACGCACTTCCCAGTGATATCGCCTAAGTTAGAATACTTGATAAAGAAATAATAATATGAATGAAATGATCTCTCTACAAACTAAACTCAAGGATAAGGAAAAAAAGCTGAATTTACGGAATGTTATTTATAGGGTGTTACAGTGTTAAATACATACTGCCTTAGTGGATTTACACTGAATTTGCTGTTGAATTTCACTGAATTTGCATTTTCATCAATACCATACCGTGATCCAGAGTATTCGTGAGTTCCTGCCATCATGCATATTTTCAGATTTTAGAAGAAAAAAAATAAACTGTTATTAATTTTTAGAATTTTATCCACTAACATGTGATTTTAATTATCGATCATTATAAAAAAATTAAAATAGTTTTTCAAGTAGTTTTTGTGAATAAATTGGCCTGGATGAAGCTTTAATTGCATTGGGACTCGGCTATATTTCAGGTAGCGACAACCTGGGCCCAAAGAGTTATTTAAATGTTTAAAACTGTATGTTATAACACCCTGCAATGCGCTGGGAACCTAGGCCACCAATTACTACAATAACATGCCGGATAATTCATGACTGACTTTACAATAAATCTTCTACCCGTTGTATAATCGACCATCTGCCCGGCGGTTTTGCCTACTTTTAAATTTGTGTTTTAATAATCGGCCAGCTGTGATATTGCAAAATGCTGATACCGGTTTTAATTGAAAACTCGTTTAATTTGTTCCTAATTTAAACCTAAATTTTAAGGAATGATTGACAAATTTATAGCAAAATATAGACTGAGAGAGATGTATTGAAGTTTTTGTTATATTTTATTTATTTGTACTTTTTACGTACTAATGAGAG